GCAGGGTTATTAGGTCCAGCCAGCCTGCGGTCTATCCCCGTGCCCATGACATTCGTTAGTTCGCGGCTCTTGCTGCCGTCTTTGGGAATATGTCTTGGTCTGATATTCGGGCGCGGGGATTTTGGCGGTCGAACAGGGTCCTGGCTGCGCGTTACCTTGTGAATGTCCCTGGGCCTCGTCGGGCCTGTGTTGCTTTGGGTCGGCGGTTGCAGCCAGTTGTCTCGGCTTCGAGTTGAGGGGTGAGCGACGACCGCCTCCCGGGTAAGTCCCTCTTTTTCTGTCTGTGGGTAGTTAGCTCCGGGGAGCCAACGGGGCTCCCCCCAGAAAACCAGCGTTGAATGTAATGAAACGCCATTTTCTGGGTGAGTCCCGGAGGCTCCCCGGCATCCCTCCCTCCCTCCGGTCGGCGGTTTTTCGCGTTTTTGACATCCAGCCTCAAGAACTGAGGTGTGGGTAGCCGGCGCGGGGGGTCTGGGGCTCCCCCTTCCCCCTCCCGGGGAGGGGGTAGCTGCGCAGACAGCGGCGCGGCAGTGTGTGACGTCACACTAGTTTGCTTGTTTTCGGTTGGGGAGTTCTATCCACTAGTTCGGTTTTAGGTAGCAATTTTAACCAGAATAGGGGTTTGTTTTGGGGCGCTTACCTTTCTGGGTGCCTGTTCCGGTCGATGGCAGACATAGAATGCTTCCAACTACACGGGGGCTTCTATAGGCCATTGCTCCCCTTGCCTCTCTGAGGGGGCCCGGTTCTGGCCGTGGTCCCCGGTAGGCCTAAGAACTCCATACACATGACTGATGCCAAAGTCTGACATTAGCATATCAGCCTGGGATAGCTCCGGGGAGCCTCCGGGACTCACCCAGAAAATGGCGTTTCATTACATTCAACGCTGGTTTTTTGGGACCATCATTTATTGCCGAATACTGTCGCCTCATTTTCTGCGGCACTGGCAGAGTCAGTTCAGCTTGCATTCGGGGTGGATGTCACTTCTGCCCCATTCCGTAAGCTTTCTTGTGCTTTGTTTTACCTCCGGCCTGCTCATGAGTTGCCTGAGCTGTCCTGGTTCTTGGACAGGGTGCTCTCATTTCTCTCTTCTCCTCAGTTTGTGGTGGCCCCATTGGTTCAAGATTGTTTTTCAATCTTTCTATGTTGGCATTGGCCTCTGGGGCTCGGGTTGGGGAGCTTCATGCATTCCTCTGGGGCAGAAGTTTTTGCTCCTTCGGACCTAATGGTTGGGTTGTTCGGTTGCAGCCTTCTCCTTCTTTTCTGGCGAAGAACGAGACGGTGACTTTCCGGAGGGGGCCCTTGGGTCATTGATGTTTGGTTGGTCAGGCCAGGTATGCATCATGTGTTGTGTATGGTTGCATCTCTTCACTGTTATTTACGCGCCTCAGCCTCAGTGGCCGGGGACGTGCTTTGGGTTGATCCGGTTTCCCTCGTTCCCTGTTCCAGGTCTCGGGTCACCCAGGTTGTCAGCAGGGGTATTAAGTCTAGCCTACCTGTGGTCTATCGTCGTGCCCATGAGGTTTGTAAGTTTGCTGCTGTGGCTGCCATCTTCGGCAACATGTCTTGGGCTGACATTCGGGCACTGAGAGTTTGGAGGTTGAACAGGGTCCTGGCCGCCCGTTATTTGGTCAACATTCCTGGTCCTGGTTGTTCATGTGTGGCTTTAGGTCGTAGGTTGCAGCCAGTTGTCTCGACTTCGAGTTGAGGAGCGAGGGGCGGTCACCTCCCAGGTAAGTCCGACTTTTACTTGTCTTTGGTTAGGTATCTCCAGGGAGCCGAAGGGCCTCCCCACAGAAAACCAGCGTTGTATGTAATGAAATGCTATTTTCTGGGTGAGCTCCAGAGGCTCCCTGGCACCCTCCCTCCCTCCCTCCCTTTGATGCTCAGCCTCCAAACTTGAGGTGTTGAGTAGCGGGCGCGGGAAGGGGAGGGCTGCGTGGACAAATGGTGCAATGTTTGCTTGTTCTTTAGGTTGGGGGGAGTTCTGCCTCTTTGTTCGGTCTTCGGTTGCAGGTTTCTTACCATGTGGGGTGTGTTTTGTTATGCTTATCTTTCTGTGTGCTAAACCCGGTCAATGGCAGACATGGAATGCCCCCAAGTACAAGGGGGTTTCCATAGGACATTGCTCCCTTTGCCTCTCTGAGGGGGGCCAGGTTTTGGCTCGTGGTCCCTGGTAAGCTGAACTCCAGTTGACTGATGCCCCAGACTAATATGTCGCATATCAGTCTGATAGCTCCAGGGAGTCTCCAGGGCTCACCCAGAAAATGGCATTTCATTATTATCCCACTTTCATTATTATTATTATCATTACATTCAATGTTGGGTTTTTTATATCCTCCCTTCATGTATGAGTTGCTTGGCTGCTTCCCTTTTGAGTGTGATTCTGGGTCCCATTTGGTGTCTTGGAATGATTGTATTTCCAAAGGTTTTTATTTTCCTGCACTGCACCTTTGGTGGACTGCCTGGATTTGCTTTGGTACCTCCTGTAGAACACAGACCTCTTTTTCCATGATGAACCTAGCCTCATTTGGGTATGGGTCTGTCTTTGTTTATTTGATGCAGTATGAGTTCTCGGGTTTGGATGGATAACAACTCCTCTCTCTTACTTGGGGGCTTGGTAGTGGTTCTGTTGAACCCAAATGCTTGATGGGCCGGAAGTGAACTCGGTCTTTCAGGTGTTCCTGAGCAGTGCTTCTTTTGCTCTGCTCTTGAGCTGCCTGTTTTCTGACACTTCCTAAGAATGTGTGTGAGTAGCAGCTCCATATGCAGCTGCCTTCACTGTATTAGACCATATCACAAACACCACAGGGCATATTCACACTTGGCAGTGGTCTTGCATGTTTGGGTTCTGATGGAGGGAAATCTCTGAGCAACTGTGTGTAGACTGTGGCATCGCTGGGGTCTGCTCCAGGTGTGGAGGCCTTGCAGCCTGCACTTCTGGCCTTGGCAGCTTTGTCCATGATGTACTTTGCCTAAGGCTGAATAAAATGTCCCCGCTCTCTCTTTCCAGAGGTGCTGGAGGCATTTTATTCAGCCCACCTCTTGGTCTCTCATCCTTTTTGACTGTTTTGCCCTTTTTCAACTGCTCTCTTTCCAAGGATGTTGTGCCAGTCGTTTCCACTGCATCTTTTTCTTGCCCCCTTATTGATCTATTGTTTGTTTATGGTTCTGCCTTCTTTCAGAGGCAATCTAGTTGGGTGAGGACCTCGCCCTCTTTTCATCAGGTGGGTTCAATTCACTGGCCATTGTGCTTCCTGAGGCGAGTTCCTCCACTATTCGATGTTGCAACTACACATCACAGGATAGTTCCACTCGTGTTTGTGCCGGCTCTTTCAAAATTTGCCCTTTTGGTGTTGCCTTGGTGGTCATCTGGCTTATTTTGCCAACTAATGGTTCCACAATTTGTGGGCTTTTTGGGTTGTCTCCTGCTGCCTTTGGTGAAGATGGTTGGTTCTTCCCCATTATTTGTGGTTTTCCCTTTTGGATCATGAATCCTCCTCAGCACTGTGTCTGGTCATTGTGGGTTGGATGAATTCAAGCATGGTTAATGTGGCCTGGTCCCTTTGGTGGGTATCCCAGTTGTTCCTGGTTCCAAAGCAAAACTCAGCAGACCTATTATACATCCTTGATCTCTTGAGTCTGATCAGTTTCATTTCCTGTCTGATCTTCAGCATGGCCACTTTGGCCCAAGTTCACCTGCTATTACAGATTTGGATGGTCTTCTGGACCTTCAGGATGCTTATTGGCATGTCTTAGTGTATCCCACATGCACCAGCTATTACAAGCTGGAGCTTGGATGGTGCCCCTAGACCTCTAGGATGCTTATTATCATATGTTGATGCATCCCAGGTTCAGGAACTGGTTAAGTATTGTTTTGGGGTGACAGGCTTACTGCTTCTTGATTCTTATCTTCAGCTTGAATCTGGTCCCCTGTGTTTACAGACTGGTGCAGGTCATTGTGGCCTGGTTGTATCTGTTAGGGGGTTTGTGTGTGTCTTCCTTGATGACTGATTCCCAGTCAGTCCACATGTCGGCTGGCCAGTGATCTGAGTCTTTCCCAGCTCATCGAGTTCAGGTTCCTGGTGAATTGGAGGAAGTCCCATTTGGTCACGTCCCATGTACAGACTTGGGACGTGTGACTTGGTGACTTGCTAGCTGGTCGAGCATTTGGGCGAGAGCCTGAACTTTGCCTGCATTGTCTTTTTCCTGGGCAGGGCTTAGCTTTAGGCATTGTACCATTTTCTCCGGTTCTGCTGCTCTCATGACTGGCAAGTTTGGGTCTCGCCTGCCCTTTATTGGCCTTGCTAGCTTTTCCTTGGGTTTTTTGAGGTTCAGTTCTTTGACTCCATCCTTCCTTATCACTTAGTGTATTTACATATGCCTCATTCTTGGTTATTGGCTTTGTGACTAGCACTCACCAGGCCATCCAGGGGTGGTGGTGGGGCCTGTTCCTCTGGATACACTGAACGATGTGTGAGTTTGTGGTTGTGTGGCATGCCTTGAGGTGGATTTGGCTTCCTCCGTGCTCCGTTCTCCTGCTTCACTCTGACTGCTACCCCCATGGTTCATTGCTTGAGCTGCGGGATGTCACTTTGGTCCATTGCCTGTGCAACTGGACTCTTTTGAGAAGCTCATCTTTTGGCTTCTCTGGGTTTGGTTCTTCACACTGTTCATGTATGCGGTATATCCAATGTTCTCACGGATGGGTTATCTCACTCCTGACCCATTTCCATGGAGTTGACTGTCAATAATGCAGCCCTCAGTTGATTCTGTGATATACTCTGTCACCTTGAGGTGGGCCTCTTTGCGTTGGCGTGAAACCGGCACCTTTCTTCCTACATGGTTTCGTCTCTGGTCACCATTGGATGAAACAAAACTCTTTGTGACCCATTAGATGGAGTAATCTCAGTAAGATAGCTTCAGGGAGCCACCAGGACCCTACCAGAAAAAAGCATTTCATTACATTTAACATCAACTTTTTATATTTTTTATTTTGGCAGGTTATAACCGCTCCATTATTAGTGGACTGCAAAGCTATCCAGCCTACACGAGAGATACATGATAGATTACAAGTTGCAGAGCACACTGAGGATTCTACTGACCCAACATTTGATTGGGAAGCTTTCTGGCAGTTGCTAAAGCCTCAACTATACTACTTCCTAGCTGCTATGGGGGTAATCATGACATTTAAATTTATTATTCTGCTTCCTTTAATACAATTTATTTAAATTTATGCTTATTACTCCAACAGTCATACAAATGTTATTTGTCACATTGCTGTGAGATAAACTGTAGGATTGTTCAATTCCTTATCCAGTATCTTGAAAATTACAGTAGATTGCATGACTTGCATTATTTGTTGTAAAGGGGCCGAATAAATGCCCACATACAACGAACAGTTGTTCATTGTATGTTAATATTGGTCAAGTGAACTTGGGGGCACACAAAAGGCCTCTAAATTTATCTTGAACCAAGTTGTATATAATTTTGATAGCATTAAAATACATTAAAATACTTTCATTGGTATATACAAGATGCAGCACTGAACTCTCCCGGATTACTTTTAGTATGCAGGTAAGTTTTTACTTTGAGAGCCTAATGACAATTTACCTTGTAAATTTACCATGTAAATTGTCTCGTACCCCAAACTAAAGGATGGTGAGCTCAGTAGAGACCATACCTCAATCCACTACCTAGAGAAACTGCCTGAGGTTACAACAAGGAAAATATCAACCCACTCAACATTCTATCCAACTATTTTGTGGCATCTCTAAGATAGCCAGAGTTGTTCTAAACTACAAATTCACCACTATGCAACTACACAGCCCATTACAAGGTTATGCAACTACATAGACTATTTTAAGGTTATGTAACTACACAGCTTATTACAAGGTTGTGCAACGACACAGCCAATTACAAGGTATGCAGTTACACAGCCCATTACAACATTGTGCAACTACACAGCCCATTACAAGGTTGTGCACTACATAGCCCATTACAAAGTAGCAGCACTATTGAGCAAGAGGGTACTGGGTGGTGTTAACCCCCACTTTGATGCCTTGGGCTTTACCTGCTGGTATTGCAGCTCTATAGAAGCTGATTCTTTCAGCTAGGTAACTTGTTTTCTGGGGGAACCCCATGGTGGCTCCCTGAAAATATCTTGTTGAAATAACCTCTCTCTACTGAATCACATCTCATAGGAGTTCTGTTTGGCCTACTTGGTATCAGAGCCAGACCCTGGCCCTCCCTCATAGAAGTGCAGAGAGCTGGGGGATTGATACGATTACCCACACTGGGAAAGCATCTAGAAAGGAAGTGAAGTAATATCGACATTTGTTAGGTTCATAGAAAATGAAGCACTGAAACAGCCAAACAACTAGTGTATGAATTGTTAACTCCTCTATGAGGCTAGGAGCATACCCTTAGTGCACTACTAAGTGTGCACTACCCTTAGACCGCGCAGTATATATATATATTTGATTTGAGTAACAAAACCAATACCGCGCTATACATATATAGCTGTTTTCGTGTCTAGTGCTTTAATTTAAATGCCCCACGTGGGATAGGGGTAGACATCGGCAAGCCGCACCCGACCATAAACAAACGCCACCTGGGAAAAAATCCAGCATAGGCCTCCATTGTGTACAGGCCTCAGTTACCTGGCGGACACCATGGCGAGCACATCAAGTTCCAACAACCGACCCCGCTTAACGAGGCGTTCATCGCGACCTCGGATCGATGATGAAATTAATAAGAATTTGTTCTTGGATGGTGATGAATCTGATATTGACGACTCCGACATTGATCATGACTACACACAGCCCTCAGAAGTGGATACAACTGGTGATGAGTGTGAACATGCTGGTTCTACGGGGGCTAGGCCTAGCATCTCGCCCATGCCTCCTCTCCCTCACTCGACCCCACTTCGTGCCGGACCACACAGTTCATGTGCTACATTGCAAGATATTGATGTTTTGGTCGACAAGTCGAGGAAGGTGAATCGATTTCCGATTTTAGTGACTTAGAATCGGAAAATAGTTTCGGTGCCGCTAGTGCCAGTGGAGTGTGTGGTGTTGCCAAGCGACAATTTGTCGCATAAGCAGCATCTGGCAAAGCCATGCGGCACCGCATGGGATCACATGGGGATGCTGATGAGCAAAGACCCTTGACATCAAGTAATTTTCTGTCACTGTCTCTACCCACCCCAACTGTTGCTAGACCTGCTTCAACTCCTTGTCCACGGTTTCCTCGCCGTGGTGCCACTATTGCCTCTTGAATGACAGCACGTGTTTTTGTGTGAAGTGATTGGACAGATTTTGTTCCACAAATTCCTGTTTTTGATAATTCATATATTGGGATTACAGACCTTTTCCCTGATAAAGGTTCCAATAAAGGTAGTGAAAAGGACTACTTTACCGCATATTTCGATGAGCCATTCATGAAATATATTCAAATATATTGCAAGCTGCATGCGCTTAGGGGCTTACTTCCCTAAGCGCCCTGTGAGTACTGCGGCTGCATGACAGGGTTATCTTCCCTCGGGCGTTCGGGAACCATTCCAGTAGAATTTCTTGCTGCTCAGCATTTGCCTCGTCCTTGGGGCCCTTGTTTGGCCCTGTTTAGGGACTGGTATTGTGCTGGTTAGGGCGTCAAGGTGTTGCGCGACCTACCACCTAAGCGGCGACCAGTTCCTGTTGCCTCTAGAGACAGTGTACTCTTGCAGGGTTTTTCTTTTGTTTTTATTTTCATTTGCCTGGTGAGGGTCTGCCTAGTGTGGCAATAGTTCCACTGGTAGTGTTTGGTGGCCCTCTGCTAGGCCCCCGTGATTGTACACGTTGCAGGGGTTTTCAGTGTTGTCCTCTACCCCTTGTTATTTTTGGGTTTCTTAACCAGTTAACAACACCTTGCCCGGGCTTCCCATAGTCGTTACCCCTATGGGCCCTGAAAACCCCTGTCGGGGCTCGGTGGACCATTGAATGTGTCTTCCGGGTTCCAACCCGTCTTGTACAGAATCGTTGGTTGCTGTATCCTTGTCTCCGGATGACAGTCGCCACCTTTACCTCCGTCATGCTGCCTGTTGGGTCACTGACACCTTGACCCGGAGTCTTGTGAGAGATATTCTCTGCTTGTTCTCCAGTACTCTCCTGATGTTATTACTGTTCAGAGTACAGGCGGCATCCGTGTTGCAAGCTAGGTTAGGTTGCTGCAACACGCTAGGTTGGTTTCCCACTCTGATGCCCCGGGGCCGCCCTGTTTTGGTTAGGTGCTGTTCGCCCCTTTCCTTCCCTGTTCCCGGCTCCAGACCGTCTGTGGGTTTTGGAGTCGGGGCGGGGTTTAGTTGGGGCCGAAACTCGGGTGATTTCAGGGGCTGCCCCGTTTAGGTTGGGGACGGAGGTTTTCGAGCCTATTCCTCCTGCCAAGGCTTCTGGGTCTTACCAGCGGCCCTTTCTTGCTGCCTTTCCCATGGACTCTTCCTTTTCTTTAAGGGCGGAGGGCTTGGAGGACAGCTCTGCCCCGGGGCCTCTGTTGTGGGTTCCCGGGGCTGTGGGGGATGCCTGCTAGCAGTTCTGGGGCGGTTTGTCCCTGCCTGGAGTTTTCTGCTTCTGGGCGGGGTTTTTTGCCCATCCAGTCTGCTTGTTTCCCACTTTTGCTGGCGTGTTTTCGTATCTTTTGCATCGGTCACAGCCCTCTGTTTTGGTGGCCATTTTCTTCTGCCGGTTTCCTGGCATTATGGCATTTCAGGCTCACAGCACGGTTCAGGAGTTCGTGGCTGTCTGGTTTGCTCTTCGGAGGGTTTGGGTCATTTGGTGCACTACCATTCAGCTCCATTCGGACTGTTCTCTGACGGTTCTTTGCCGGAACCACAGGGTTTCTCTTAAGTGTTTGACCTTTGGGGTTGGTCCCTTAGAGTGGCTCGTTTGCCGGATTCTCAGGGTTTGGCTAACTGTGAGGTTCGTGTCTGGGGTGTGTCCTACGTCCTGGCGGACAGCCTGTCTCGGTTCATTCCTCTGTTCACAGATTGGCCAGTCGTCGCCGACTCATTTCGTTGGCTCTGCCGGACGTATGGAATCCTGGCCATGGACGTCTTCGAGTCGGCATGGTCTAGGCGTCGCCCATTCTATGTGGCGCCCTTACCCGCCTGCGAGGCGTTCACGGTGGATGCCTTTCGGCAGGACTGGTCGAGGTGGGGGCACCTGTTCCTCTTCTCCCGGTCCAGCTGTTGCTTCGGGTTCTGGCTCGGTTGGAGCCCATTCCCAAGAGAGTAGTCCTTATGGTCCCTTGGTGGCCGGACCAGCTTTATTTTCAGACGCTGCTTGATAGGTGTCCAAACTCGGGGCATTTTCCCGCGGCTCCGCCTCTTTTGGCTGGTTGAACCGGTCCTGTACGTGATTGGTTCGGCCTTCTCCTCGGCTCTTCGCGTCTGGTATTTTGACGCAGGTATCACCATCTCCATCACCATAGGGAGCTGGTCGGCCGAGCGGACAGCATGCGGGGCTTGTGATCCTGTGGTCCTGGGTTCGATCCCAGGCGCCGGTGAGAAACAATGGGCAGAGTTTCTTTCACCCTATGCCCCTGTTACCTAGCAGTAAAATAGGTACCTGGGTGTTAGTCAGCTGTCACGGGCTGCTTCCTGGGGGTGGAGGCCTGGTCGAGGACCGGGCCGCGGGGACACTAAAGCCCCGAAATCATCTCAAGATAAACTCAAGATCTCTGTGGTGATCAGGTGGCTTGTTGATGGTGTCTCATCTGCGAGCTTCGTCTCGGCAACAGTATGACGTTACTGGTGTTTCTATGCACTTTTTTCATGTTTTTCGTAGGTTGTCTTGTCCTTTTTTGGGTTTTCAGGACTACAGTTAATTGATGTTTCTTACTGTCGCCTCATTTTGTGCAGCGCTGGAAGAGCCGCTCCTGCTTGCGTTCGGGGTGGACGTCATATCTGCCCCATTCCATACGCTTTCTCGTGTTTTGTTTCACCTCCGGCCTGCTCATGCATTGCCTGAGCCATCCTGGTCCTTGATCAGGGTGCCCTCTTATCTTCTCAGTTTCTGGTAGCCCCTTCGGTTCAGGTTTCTGCTCTTTGGTACTGGTGGTGGGTTTGTACGTTTGCAGCCTTTCTCCGTCCTTCTGGCGACGATCGAGACGGCTGCTTTCCAGAGGGGTCCTTGGGTTATTG